CCTTCCGTTCCACGGGGATCGCGCGATCCCGTGGTCGGATCGAACGCGGATCGATCGCGGGCCCTCGAAGCGCGACCACTCGGAACGCCGGAGCCCTTTCGTGTTATTAATTAAACGCTAACCCCGCGATCCGCGGTTTAATGAATTTACGAGACTGGTCCTCTGCTCGACTCCGTTCCCATCCTGATATTTTCTGCGATATCGTTTCAAAATTTCACGCACTTACTGTCGGAGAACATTGATACATCTCCATGCATTAATTCGATCAATAGTTTCATTTTTAGACTTCGAATTTTAATACACTGTACCAGCTTTTAATTTCACATCAAATTTTTATTTTCAATAGGAGTATAAATAAAGAATATAAATTTCGTCACAAGTTTCACAGTGTTTGCGCGATTGTATTACGTATCGAGGTACGTTCTCGGTACAAATCTTGAACAAACCGAGAAACGGATCTTCCCGGGGGACTAAGGGCTATGCGTATTCCGAAACCGTGGCCGCGTGATGGAGATAGATGAGAGGAGTTCGCAGTAGCAGATGTTTCGCATGGTCGTGAAACGGCCGTGTGCCCCTCCAGATTATAATAATGATCAATCTTCGTGCTCGCGTTGCCGCGGGATAAATCACGGCCGCATTAATCAACGAAACTATTCGTCAACGCTGATAAATGCGCGAGGTTCGATTGTTGGCCGAGGCGACGAAAATCCGACGACTCGTCTTTCCGAACGATGACCTACATCGCTGACGGGAATAGTACGTTCAACGTGTCTGACTAGATACGGATAATATCCCTTTTGTGCGACTGCATACGATCGCCATTAATCTTGTTTCGTTACAGGCGACACTCCTCGTGTTTGCACTATGTACAATAATCTGGCTCCTTCGTGTGGATGCAAATAGTAGCGATGCTGTGCGTCTGACCACACCGGATATCCGTTCTACTTGTTCGATTGTACGGAGGAGCCATTTGTCTTGTCTGACTGCGTGTAGCGACTAATCCCTCTGTTTCGCTACACGTTGCGACTATTTTCTACGTACGAATATATGTGATCGGTTGTCTGACCGAGCGTAGACTGTTCCACTTGAACTTTCATGTCGAAACTACTTCACTTGTCTGACTGAATATCGTAGTTGCTTCACTTGTGCTGACTACATATCATAATTGCTCGTATGACTGAGCATAAATTGTTCCAGTTGCCCCTGCATGTTAAACTGCATATCATAGTTGTTCCACTTGTCTGACTGCATATCGTAGTTGTTCCACTTGTGCTGACTATATATCGTGACTATATGTCATAATTGTTTGCATGACTGAGCATAAACTGTTCCAGTTGCCCCCTACATATGAAACTACGTCACTTGTCTGACTGCATATCGTAGTTGTTTCACTTGTATGACTGCATATCGTAGTTGTTTCACTTGTCCGACTGCATATCGTGGTTGTTTCACTTGTGCTGACTACATATCATAATTGCTTGTATGACTGAGCATAAACTGTTCCAGTTGCCCCTACATGTTAAACTGCATATCATAGTTGTTCCACTTGTCTGACTGCATATCGTAGTTGTTCCACCTGTGCTGACTATATAACGTGACTATATATCATAATTGTTTGCATGACTGAGCATATACTGTTCCAGTTGCTCCTACAGATGAAACTACATCACTTGTCTGACTGCATATCGTAGTTGTTTCACTTGTCTGACTGCATATCGTGGTTGTTTCACTTGTGCTGACTATATATAGTAACTAGTTATCTCGCCTGACTACATATCGTTGTTGTTTCACTTGACTGACTACATGTCGTAACTATTTCACACGTCTGACTGCGCGCAGCGCCTGTTTCCCTGACAAGTTACTGGCTCTATTCCACGGGTCTGACAAGTTACGATCCCCATTCAATTTGTCCGGGCAAATTCTGCCCCGATTCCACTTATCGCCGGTTACCACTCGCATTTCGAAACGGTTGACAGTGAAATCTCGTTGAACGAGCATCGAATTTTCCAACGCTGCATATACGAACATTGTACATTAGGGTACATTAAGACGCATTGTTTTTTTTATTAAAATGTGTATTCGTACATTAATGAAACTCGCCAGAAATAGTTGAGATATGTACAATTTTCGTAGAACCCCCGCGAATATTATCTGAAAGTCTAATTTCGCGAACCGACGCCTGAAATTTAATAAAGAGGATATTTGGACTCGTTCCGGGAGGACGTATCGTCCAATTTTCGAGCCGCGACGCGAGTCCCGACGCAGTGCACATTTAGCAGAAATTCAAGTGAGATCCACTGGCAAGGTTAGCGTGTACCGCGGAGGGAAACACGGGAAATGCAAAGAGCAGCGTTTTTCGCCGCCACGCAGACAGCCGTGAAAACGTTTCTCCCCGCGGGACCGCGTTGTCGTAGGGGTAATGGGCGAAGATAAGGATGAGAGGTCGCGTGCGTATAACGCGGCTTCCTCGAGGAGGCTTCTTTCTTTCTGAAACATCGCGGTCCGACGAATGGAAATCGTTAACGGCCGAGTGTGCAGGGAGAAACCTGGCTCGAGGACGGCGCCTCGGTTTTTTCTACGCGTTGGAAATGTAAATGGAAACCATGTTTAATAAATATTTATTCCCGCTCGCGGCTGGACGCTGAACCGGCTCGTACGTTGACTGAAAGACCTAACGTATCGCGGAGGATACGGGAAGAAAAATATTGCACGAGTAAAACATTTGACGTTCGGGAGCCTGATATTTATTTAGCTGTTTAATCAACGCCGTATTTTACGTGACAAACGATGATATCGAACAGGCTGTAGGCAAATAGAATTATATACGAATTTAATGAAAAAAACGGGGTTACAACGAACGACGAAATCAAACAGTAATTTTCCATATTAATTTCGATTTATTATTTTGATTTCGAAAGTATACAGCGTTTTTTGAGCCTTTGAGCGTTGGTTCTGTTGAAAAAAAAATCGAGCACGGTCGATATAGGGATATTTGAATCGTTGATTGCGACGCTTAGAATGGAAAATACTGTTAGCGGAGTTTCGAACAATCTGAAATCACGCGCGGAAGAATCACGTGCGAAAGAACACGATGGAGTTATTGATCGCGATGTCTGTGTTTAAATGCTCGAATTGAATCTCCATTTTCGACTGTCTGAAGGAACAATCTGTGGACCATCTGCTCTGCCTCCGAATAGGAAACTTTTATATCGAAATCGCGTTAAAACGTCGTCGAAACGCCGCGAAAATAATCGACCGTTTAAAACGAACGTTACGATCGAACATCGATTGCCAGACTAGACGAAAAACATAGACGCTTCTTTAAACTTACATTTCTGAACTAAAATATTAAAAGAGACTGTTGAGCTGTTGACTCAAAAGACTATGCAAAGTGAACGTTACAAGGACAAATCCTAAAATTTAATCCAGATTTCAATGTTTTTACAATAATTTCTCGGACCGAAACTCTAGTTGGAATATATCAAATAAATTGAAACTAGTATGTTTAAATATTTAAGGGAACAATTCAAAGGGAATAAGACAACGGCGAAAAATAACCTTTACAATTTAGTATCGTTTGCCAAACTCGCCCAGATAATTTCGCATACAATTCTAAAGTTTAAACTAGATTTTAAACGAATAACGTAGATGCTTCTCTGAACTTAAACATTCGAGCTCGGCGACCGTATAATATCCCGACCCACGAACCTCGGTTAGTAGTCGACGGTCTGCAGCATATTTCTACGTTTGTAAATCAAAACTCTGTAGTATGAAAACCATGTGGTCGTACAACATCTTTTCTAGAATATTACTTACTTAACGATCGGTTAAACCCAGACAACGTGCCCCATCACCTCGTCCCAAAGAGCATGAAAAAATGAACGACCAACGTTAAACTTCGATTCTATTAAAAAAAAGGTCGAGTGTTAAAAAATTCTTTTGAAAAAAATAACTTTATCGAACAGTTTCTCCGAACGAAACAAACGAGAGAGTTAATACGTTCGAACGTTTCAAGGAGCAAGCTTATTTCCATTCCCGTTCTAGGGGGTCGAAAAAGTGAAATAAAAAATTCTTTAAAGATAACACAACAGCGAGTCCGACGGATATAAAAACACTGGACAGAAACGTAACGGGGGGAAAAAAAATATATAGGAGAGCGTATAACCGTTCACGGGAACGAAGCCTGGAATGATTTCCCTATAAATCGAGGGTCACTCTCGAGAGCGCTTTTTAATCCCCGGATTTCGAATTAAATATTTCAGCGGGCCGGTGACGCGGTCGTTCGTTCCCAGGCCGTTTAATCTCAGGCTGGCCGTAGTGTCAAATCGATGTGGAATGTAGGTCGAATTCGGCTTACCGGAATTGATTTCTCCGGTTTCTGAATTATTGTTGTAGTGCGCGTGCACTGGACTGTGTGGCACTTTCCACCCCCATTGCACCCGCCTCTATCGTTCTCTCCGGACGCATGATACCCATAGCCGTATCAAAGCGCTCATTGTCCAATCGTTTGTCGCGACTCCTCCGTTTGGAAACTAATCCCGAACGCTATTGTTGCCGGCCGAAAATACGACGAAAAGACGTCGTTCGGCTATACTCGCGCCGTTATTGATCGTCCACGATCGAAAATAAATCTTTGCACAAGCAGGCAACGATACATTAAATAACACGAGACTATAATAGAAATTCAATGGGAATGTTACGGAGTTTGACGACCATTATTTTAGATTCGATAGTAACAATGAATATAAAGAAGTATACAAGCGCTAGAAATTTTGGAGCTCGTTATTTCTGGACTATTTTTTTAACAAGACATCCTGGCCTACTTTAAAGAAAACCAGGGGGGATGTTTCGCTCGAAATACATAATAGATTCGACTCGATATTATTGATACGTATCCGAGAGTGTTTCTTCGAAAAGCTGCATTTAAATTAGAGAACTGTTTTGCAAAGGTTACAATTTTCATGGTGAGATTAATCGGGAAACTTTTCTTAATTTTTCAGCGTGTATTTTGGAACTTGTGGTTGGCCAGCAAGGGCCGGTTTTTGTTCTCGAGCCACCGAGCACTCTGGTCTTTTCCAATACCACGGGCTCCCAGCTAAGCTGCTCTGCCCATGGGAGTCCAACGCCGCACGTCACCTGGATAACTAGTCCGGATCAGAGATCAGTCACCGCAGTTCCCGGACTACGGTAAGTAATTAACATAACTGTCGTATGCAGGAAGATTAGCCCCAAAAACGACACCGATTTCCGTAGAGCAAACGAATTTTCAAAAACCCAAGGAAACAGATTTATTCATAGAAACAACAAGAGTCCATGTTTTTGTAACAATTTCTGCGAACATCGACGCAAACTACGCTCGTATATTCGTTAATAAAAACTCCTGCACAGCCATGCTGTATGAATATGTTTCTACAACAGGTGTCCGATCATACACCGACTATACTACGTGTTTTGTCTGTGCAAACATACACCTCTTCTGCATACTTTTCTACAACGGTCGCCCGATCAAATACTGACTTGCACCACTTCCCTGAACGCGATTGGTCCGACCATGCAACCACTTCTACTACTTGCTTAGCTGTACCTTCTTTTGACAGTTTTCGGGACCAATTCCTAACGACAAGTTCTCTGGTGGAGTAAATTCTTACACTGTTTGGCTGATCCATCATTGATCTTTACTACTTGATTTTTTATATATGGTCTAATTTTTGTCTGAGATATCACGTACCCCTACTACTTGTTTCGTAGTGTATATTTCTATAATATTTGTTCGTGGACGGATCACTAACAGTAAATTCTACTATTTCTGTATTTGTCTGATCGAGCACTGACCCTTACTACTTGGAACTGAGTACTATTCATTCCTACAAGCTTTGCCCAACAAAAAAAACACTTTAATTACTTATTAAGCAATGTAATATATTTCTATCACACTTATCTAGATATTTGAAAATATTAAAATTGCAAAACACGATGTAGAAAATCATGATTAGCGAACTAGTGCAGCCAATACCAGAACAAAGACCAAATATTTCAAGCGTTCCACATTGTTCACCGAAAGGAGACTGACACAATATTTGATAATATCAACGTAAAATCCGAAATATAATTTCGTTTCATTTTCAATTCCGGGTGAAGGGGGAAAAAAAACAGTTTGTCATTTCGGCAGCGATTACTTTTTCGTAACAACGTCGCTCCCGCGGGAGGACATTTTGACATGAAATCGTTGGCGAGAAAAGATCCGAAAGCGACGGGTTTCGTCCCGACGCGGCTTCCCGTAATTCCCGTTTCAGTTATCGAGCGGCCTTTGTAAGATCCGCTTTTTCAGCCAGAAAATTCGCGTCCGTTACTCGCAAGAGTGTACGATAGAAAAGGGGTAAAGCGGATTAGCGTGTCCCGGGATTTAGAACTTTCGAAGCCGTTGTAAATTGCCCGGGAGTTTCTAACGTGCTACCCGCGATCGGACTTACATTGTCCCGCGGAAAAATCGGTACTGGTATCGCGCCGTTCCCGTAATTATCGGCCAACTTCGTTCAACTAATTAATTTCGCCCTGCCCCGGAAAACGCAATTACAGGGTACGCCTTCTTGCGTCGCTCGTTCACGCGATGTTTTGTCCGCGGGGACCATAAATTCGATTTCGCCAACCATCGTCGACGCTAATTCACAAAATTTCAAACAGAAATCAGAAACAGGTTGCTTATTTTAATATCATGATCCTTTTTTGACGTTATATCTCTCTGAAACGTGCCTATACTGCGTACAAAAATTGCCCAAAATCATTTGTTCGTCTTTGCTCGAAAACGATTCGATTATAAAAGAAAAGTCGAAGGTAAATTTTAAAAAACGTGGGCGATAAACGGACGGTTCCGATCGCGAAACACAGGAAGCCTTCCCGCGTCCATCCCAGGGATGCTGCGAGCAAAGTCCCGGAGATCGTGGAAGATTCGTATTATTGGAAATATGAAGCTGTACGCTCGGCAATATCGTGACCGTGGCACCTGGGGAAACCATTTCCTCCCGGTAATTGAAATGTTCCTTATCCAATGGCCGTCCCGTAAGTTTGTCCGCGGTCGGACATCCCGCGGGAAAGCGTAAACTCCCCCCCCGGTTCCTTCGATTCACGTAATCGCCTCCCGGCGGGAAGACAAAAATTTCCGATATTTTTCTCGAAAAGGAAACTTCTGATTTGCTTCGAGAAACTTTCAGACACCATCCACAGAAATCTTCTCGCGTGGCCGAAAGACACATCCACCTCTTGTTTCGACGAATTCCACCATTACGGACAACGTTTCCAAACGTAAACTCGCCACGTTTGAAGCTTCCGGCCAAAGAAGCATCGTAAAAATTGTTATCCCAACACGTACGTAGCTGGTACGGGTTCGAACATCTCCGAGGACCCTTTTTGCCGGGATGCAGCTGCTTTTACGGCGTCGACGCGCGATTCAATCACCGGCGAGGAGTTTCTGAAAACGGTACTTCTAGCCGCGAATCCATCTCCTGGGGGGGTTCCTAGTCATCAACCGCGAGGAAGATTGGATCCCTCGGAGCCGGTACGAAACGCCGGGGCCCCTATTCTTCGCGTAGACGTCGATGCCGGAGGAGTTCGAAGCCGCAAAGAAGTTGGCGAACCCGAGGAAGCAACCGCCGACGTTACAGCAACCCCCTTTTGCGCTCTTCATCCGGCAAACAGCTCTCTTTGACGTTCGATCCGCGGCCACGGCCATTCAGCCATCGCCCGGTCTTCGTTTGCATCTCGCGAAATTGGCTGCTAGTTAATCCCATACGTCGATCGATCGAAGACGCGCGGGAGCCCTTCGAGGGCCGATCAAGGGGGCGACGAACACCGCGGCGGGGGGTGGCTGAAAACCGGTTCGATGCGCGTTGCGAGCAAAAGGAACCGCGATGCTGATGGCTGGAGAAATAAATGCAAATGAAAGGAGGGATGCGGAACACGGACGGACAAAGGGTAGTGTAAAAGGGTGAAAGGGGACAATGAGGTGGGTCGGGGACCGGAAATCGCTGAATGGAAGAGGGAAGAGGGGCTGAAGAATGATGGATTAATCGCGCACAAAGGAATGAAAAAGATACTGCGAATGTAAAGCAGGGAGAACTGGAGGAACGTTGAACGAGTGATAAGGAATAAGTCGAGGAGGATTATTTTTATTATTGGGTTCGGTGTCATTATTTTTCATTCACTTCGTGGAAGTTGGAGACGAGCTACGATTTTTTATTGGAAAATTTATTTCAAAACGTCTGTTTGGATGTTCTTCTTTGCTTTCTGTTTGCGTTTGTTGGAGGACATCGCTATTTTTAATAAATTATTGCTACATTCCTGCCAAACCTTAGAATATTAATTCTCGTACAAATAAAGAAACACCTTCATATTTTGGTCTGCTTTCCGGCAAAATCGGTTACCGTGCGTCGTCTCCCGAATTCGCCTTCGTCGCGTTCAGGCTACCCAGGAGGCCACCCATTTCATCCACGTCGGAGGATTATTACATTTTACAGTGGCCAGCCAGACTTCAGGCGGATGATGTATGACCGAGAGTTGGTTAACGCACGCGTTCACGAGCCGCGCGAAATGGGACGCCAGCGTTTGCGGCCGGATGAACCGAATACGCGGGAACCGAGTGGAAATCTGTTGATGACGCCTGACACGCTGAAAAACCCTGCGCGACAACCGTGCACTGCCCGTTACCGATAACACGCCGCGTACAAATAAGAAATTTTGCAAAATAGATTCGACAACCACGCGTTAAGACTGCTCCCTGTTCAAAATACTCCAGAAATTATTTCCCCTTGCACTGGAAACCTCAACGCTCTAACCTGACCAAATAAAATATTCCCGGACCGTCTAAGATGCTACAATCATGCTTCGTCGTAATTAAATTTTCTCTAAGACTCCAAACGCTTCCGACGTTTATCGAGGCGGAGAGTTTTCAATTTTTCCAGGCTTTTGCGTTTAATTTCCTGGCAAGAGATGACCGTTCATCCTGTGCGTACAGATACACGTGATCCCGCGAAAAGAAAAATCGCGACGAATTTTGTTTTGAAACGGGAACAGAGGAGAATAAGTTTAATCCCGGGCGCGTGGAATAATGGAATTTTCGGTTTCGATTATCGACAACGTGTCACGCGGACGTTACCCTCCCTCCGCGCGTGCAATAAATATGCCCCGCGGATTAAACGCGGCGCTCGATGTTTGCCGTGAGAATGATTTACATTAACGGTTAATGCGTTCTACAACGCTGTTTGTGAACGTCACTCCACGGAATATCCGGCGCCCGGGCCGGTATTCGCTAATTGATAGTAAAATCGAGGGAAACGGATAAATAGACTTTCCCTCGGGGACCGGGCAGTGTCGCGCGAAACGAAACGTTAAAAGTGCGGAAGATCGTTCATATTTCGTAATATTCCGAGCCGCAGGCGATTGTTAATTAAACACGAGCCAGCCTCGAAATGGATTTTAAATAGGAGGATCAAATTTTGATTATACTACTGCAGCAACAATTTGAAAATTGATAGATTGAAGTCTCTGACTTCTGCACAACAGTGCCTTTCAACGCTTGGCTGATCATATACTGACTCTCACTACTTGTTCGATTTCTTAGGACCCTGTATAAGCCATTCTACGTAGTTTAAAATGGTTCAAAATTTTCTTTCGATCAAGGAGTATATGTATATAGTTACATAAATAAAATTCAACGTAAATTACTGATAAATAATAATTACGAGTCTGGCACTGAAATGCTGAAATATTTAAAAACTGTGAATACGAACGTTCGAATCGTAGGGGGGTCCGTATTGTAATTTCCAGGGAAACAACAGTCCGTAATTATTCCGGTAATTACATACGTGTTTGCACCGCCATCTTGGTTACGTAAACAGCTCGATGCTTAAAGCCCCTTCTCTCAGGAATTACACCGCGTCTCGCGCAAGATAAATTTGTCTGAATCGATTGACTCGTTCCTCGAGCACGGGACAAGAATGGGGAATGCGATTGCATCGACGAGCCACGCGGTGTAATATAAGGAGAGAAAACGATTCACCCAGATGCGATACGAAGCACGAATCGCTTTACTCGTAGCGTAAACGTTGCGGCTTCGCGGATAATCGAACGCGATTCTGGAAAGTCCCGCCTCTCGAGCAGTCGATACTCCGCGACGATATTTTTAGTCGGTTCGTCGTGACGCCGGAGCATGAATTTTACACTGCTATTTCAGGCGTGTTTAAAGATTGATACCACGATGCATAATTTGCGGACAGATTCGAACTATAAATAATTGTTTCGGAATTCTGTGAGACACTGTGAGTACACAACAAAGGTTCTTAACCCGAAGAAATTAATATAAAATACTTCACAGTCTCGATTCTTGCATTCTAGTCTATACAGCTGCTCAAAGTCGACGACTCTATTTTCTTATTCGCTACCAAGTAACTTAATACGCGGGATTTTTTTTTAAATACATTATCCCATGCTCGCAGATCCGGAAAGGCGTTCATTAAGTTTTCACGTCCCGAATAATAATGCAAAGAAAATGAGAATGCACGCAATACGGTCGACCACCAACGCCATACTCTTCTGTTGTTTTCAGACAATTACTTGGGAATGGCACCCTCTATTTTCCGCCCTTCCTCGAGCAAGATTTTCGCGCCGAAGTCCACAACGCGAGGTACAGATGCCGCGCCACCAGCTCCGTGGGAACGGTTCTTTCTCGCGAGGTCACTCTTCGTGCTGGTAAGTCTGAAATACAGCATATCGAAAATTTCCCCCAAATGCAACGTAATCATCCGAGAGAATACACAAATTTTTATACAGATTATACACACCGGAGTGTATGCAATACCAAGTGAAATACTCCATTAATTTATCAAAGCACCAAATATATATTTTGTACATTTCAACAACGCAATTCGAAATTACAACTATATAATCGTTCCCATCGTTAACGACCACGCTAAGCAGTATTTGGTCGCGTCGAACGCTAACGAACGAGACCCTAACGCGGACAAATAATTAAAGAAACCTCTGTGGGTAGCGCGGCGCGTTTTATCGAGCTTTTTTTAGCGAGGTCGTTGCGACGCGTTAGCAACATAAAAGAAACAGTGCAAAATATTACGTCGGAAAAGCGGTACGGTTTGCCCGGTCGTCACGTATCCGGATGCATACAGACGCGAGACTCATTATCGTGTCCCAGCACGGCACTCGTTAATTACTATGATTTCTTTTTCTCAATCTCCGTCGACATTGGGAGGGAAATATCCGTGTCACAAGCACGGACTGCTGCACCCCCGCGACGACACGCCATATTAACAAAGTAATTACTTTTTCGATTCTGGTACGAACGCGACGGACAGCGGTCACTGATAAACATTTCCCGTGATCCGTGAACGACAGAAATCCTTTATCCGTTTACCTTGAGATTCGGCGGACCATTTGCTCTAAATTTTGTTTAATTCTTTCTCATGTCTCTTTTATGGAAAAAAGCTTTCAGAACCTTCTTTTTTAACTGCTCTTGCAAAACGGATATTTCAGGACCCTCGTAATAAAAGTTCCATGGGTTGTTTCGAAACTTTTGTTTGCGTAAGTTTCATGGAATAAACTTCGTGTTTTTTAGTGCGTCGTAGATGACAATTTTAATGGCGAATAACGAAAAAGGAGTATATTTCCGTTCGGTATATCAATGCTTCATTAACACGAAGCAAAGGCAACGCGATTCAAATTATAGGATTAAATTCTTCCTCGTGAAATCTGATTATGCCATTAGGTACCGTAGCGCTGATTACCTTGATTATAGCAGTTTGTACGTTTCGAGAGTTATGCGCGTTTATAGCACGAGAAAAAAATCGTCTCGCGTCGCTGAACCGTCAAAAATTAACAAGCCTCGTGGAATTCTTATCCGACTTACTACTTTTTTCTGAACCGTGGACTGTGCAACTCGGCTGATCATGTGCTTTCCTGTACCACTTGCCTGATTACACGACGCGTTACTCGATTCGCGTTACTGGCACGGTTACGCCTGTTCATGTTCCAATTACTTGACTCTCTACTACTCAGCCAACGGGGTACTCGATTCTTTCTAACTCGTCTGCTTTTCAGATGTTAAAGATTTCGATCGTGTAATGAAGATTGAATTAAATTGCAAACGAATAGATTTACAATCGTTTACTACTGTCTACCTCACTACTGGTCTGATCAAGCACTGATCTCTACTACTCGTCCAGCCACATACCTTTCCCTATGACCAAATTACACACTGCAGACTATACTCTGTGTAACAAAGCACTGTTCTACACTGCTACACTTCGAACAATAATTTATATTGTACAAGAATCCAGTCGATTTTTCTGATACAGTATGCAGTTAATAACACCTTTCGCGCCATAACTCGTCCATTGCAATCGAGCCAGAACGAAAGGGATGAGATTTATTTATCCATCGATAGGGAGGAGCGTGCTGGGTTCGTACAATAAACGTCAATTAAAGACGAAAGGTGGGCCGGGGAACGTGACTGGGCGCGTGGTTAAAAGTTCCCGGGGATCCCATTATGCCGGAAGCGTTGTAACAGTCCGCGAGACGTTCCACGAGTAAATACCGGACGGGTGGAACGGCGTTGAAAGCCCTTAAATTGTATCGGAGGAAGTTCGATTCGAGGCAGACGGCGCAAAGAGGAGGACGCGAAACGCAGCGTCGCGACGAGACAAAACTTCGCCCGGGCGGCGGGTTTACGTGAGCCACCATTTAAATGGCCGATTTTAAGCCGACCGACGCCGCCGGCGCATACAAAGCTGCCGGGGGTCTTCCGTGGATAACGGGCTGCACAGAGGGAAACCGAAATTAAAAGGGAATTCGGAATCCTTCCATTTAAGTTCGGGCCGCGTTCGCCTCGATCCTCCAATGGACATCCGGCGATTCTTTCCTGGCGCTCGTTGCGCTTCGGGAATGTTTATTGCGCCGGAGAAGATGGAACAACGTTTATTACGCGGCTGTTAAACGCTCCATTACGGACTTCTTAAATGTTTATGGGGGCTTCTCGGGAGATGTACGGAAGATTTGGAAGAGAGAAACAGTCGATTAAGCGAGCTCGATAATTATCGCGATTTTATAGCCGCACCCGGGAACTCGAGGACCAATTTGCAGTTTGCTGTTTTATAGTGGAAGTACGATTATTTTTTTTGGAAGCAAGACCAGTTTGCTATTATAAATACTACATATTTTATGAAAGAATGATGCAGCTGAAGATGAAAAGGACACGGAGGAGGATAAATTGAAGTCGGCCATCTTGGATGCAAGGCTCGAGGACCCTCCGCGCCGCGATCAAGTTCTTTCGCGAAGAAGAACGCGTATGGACACGAGCGTCGCGGTTAAATTCGACTTTCGAATTCCTCTTTTCGGCTTAAATTGGCTTCCCTCGTCCGGGAAACTTTCCGCGACAACGTCCCCGGGATGACTCGGCGAAAACCAGACGAAGAATTTCTGTCGCCGACGACCGGGGGCCCCGACTTAAGAACTTTCGTGCAACGAAAGAAGCAAGGACCAATCGATCGAGTCCTCTGTGGTCTTTCCAGACTTCCTCGAGTTACGCTCGTCGGGTACATTCTTTCCCCCATGGCGGAAATTCCCCCGCAGTACGTTCCAAACAAATTCGAAGTCGTATTTTGCGAGAAATGCTTCTTAACATACTTACATTCGTTGAACGGTTTCGAAATTATTTACGGCTTCCTTCTGTCCAAATTGGGATTTATATTTCGTGGGAAACGAAGTTCGATGGCCTGTTATTTTGGACAACGTCGTTCGAAGGTCGAGAAGAGGATCTCCGGGTACGAAACGGAGATCCTGAATGAGTTTTGCGGTGGTTTCGACGTGCCAAGTCGACTTGAAAAATTAGGAAGCAGAGCTACGACGTTGGGAGCGCGTCCCGACGCTCAGGTACGGCGGTGGGAGATGCACGGAGGGCGATGATAAAATTCCGGTGACGCAGGGGAGGGCCCGGGCGAAACGAAACGTGCAAATGAAGCCAATATGCGCAGATCTCCAGCCAAGCGGCCAACGACATTTCCGTGGATCCGCAGCCATCGTCGGGATTAAGTTTCTTCGACACAGCGTATCCGTCGGCGTCTATTTCCCCGTGATTCCGTCGATTCCTCCGGGCTAGATCGGTTCGATCCCCCGTGACGAGATCATGCCACTTAGGGGCCCATCCAGTTTGCTATTTCTTGTAAATATCCTGAACGAAATTTTTAAATCATTTCAGACCACAAAGAGCCATTTGATTTAATTCTCATCGACTTAATTTTAATCGACTTCGAAACGCGTTTACAACACGTGCATAAATTGGCCACCCGTGATCGGGCGAAGCTGATACGATAGCTCCTAAATCCGCCGGACGAAGTTTAAGTACATAAACGCCTGTCGTGCAATCCAGAGCCAGCCACTTTCGATTCCATAACAACGGCAATTAATTACAAATCTCTTCGATTCCCGGAAGGGTTACAAACGGCGTATAAACATCGCGTTTATTATCAAGTTTAATTACCCCGCTGGATTCCAGGAAATTGCCACCAGGGACGGGGTAAGAGTTAATTAATTACCGAACTCTGAAAAACAATGAAATCGAGACTGTTCTCGGCGACATTCCAAAAGGTTTCTGTCAGAGATCATCATCGAAAGTGCCACGGCTCAATGAATATTCCCAGAGTCCCTCGGCATCTCGGCGAAGCTGGCAGCCCGTTACGGGAAAGGTGCCCGGGAAAAGGGGTGCGGAGTTCCCCTTTTAGACAATACCACTCTCACTCTCGGAACTCCCTTCCTCTTTCGCGTTGGGAATAAGTTCTTTGGCGGAGACGAGGGTCGAGCCGATGTCATTTCAGATAAATTCCTCGTTGCTTTTCAGCCTTGTCCGGCCCGACGACGGGTCTCGAGCCTCTCCTTTTAGACCCGGTACCGTCCATCAGAGAGTCCACCGAAGCTCGAAAGCGCAGGAATCAGAGAAATTTACGCCGCGCGTAATCGAGTGTTCCCTTACGTGTCCCGCAAAACTCAGCAAAAGGGGTGCAACTACGCCGCGATATTTTCCATTGCTTCATCAGATGCCACCAGCGATCGCCGCCAGAGGGCTGCGCTCTTGACTCTCTCACAAGTGCTCGACTCAGGACAAGATGCTCCTTTCTCCTTCTCGAGAAAACCCTTCATAGGAATAAACGAGGTTACCAAAACACGCCCATGACAGGGATGAGGAATAATTCTGAAGATACATGAGAATCCTCGTTGTTGATGAAGGGAACCTCAACGGAGAATGATCACGAGAGGGCGGAAAAATAAGAACAAGAGTGTTGCTCGCGTTATCAGGCCCCGGGTATCTTTCAAACAGCGACAATTAACGCGCGGATAAGCAACGCGGCCGTGACTGGAAATGCAAACGGGCCGATGAATAGATACGCGGGCTCCCTATCCTCACGACCAATTAACTGTCTCATTCAGGGTATCTGGTGGATCTGGCTAGCATAGAGATACACACGGGCACAGAGGGTGCGTTAGCCCCGGACGTCCTCAAGTGCCCGGCGACGAATGCGACAGAGACGCGACGAGGAACGGAGACACGACCGTTGCCCGTTGAAAGAGCGTCGGGCTGAAAGGGGACGGCTCCCGGAAACGAAAAAAGGAAACGAAATTGCGAGCACGACGATGGGGGAAAGGTACGAGCGAGAGACGCAGACGATTAGATGAAGATGGCGAGCACGAGATATCGGTGGGGGGTGAAAAGAGACGCCGTGAAAGAGACCAAACAGAAAGGGTTACGGTGGAGGAAAGAAGATTGCGGGATAAAGAGGAGAATTGGGAAAGACAGAAGTAAGAAACGAAGGAACGTTGGTAACCGGTGGGACAGAGAGGGGAAACCGAGACGCAAAAGGGAGAACACAGTCACGGAGGGCGAATCGGACTCGGTCGGTGGAGGAAAAAAAAGATGGAGGGAGTGGGTAGGGGATGACGGGGGAGGATGAAATCTTGGTGAATGCCGGGTCACTCGTTTAAATAATTAAACGCGTAATTACCGCCGGCTGGAACACATTTTAATGAACGGTGCCTTTTCCACGGTCCCCCGCCCCTACCTTGCCATCTCTCCGTTTCCATCCGTCAGGCAACACCGCGTCCCAGCCCTGGAAGAACCTCGAGAGAAGAGCGTCGGGAGTCGTCGACCAAGCGACGACTCCGGTCCGAGACTTTAGAAAAGCGGAGTGGAGACGTTTGGAAAGCCAAGTCGAAAGTTCCGCGTTCCGCCCGTCGAGTTGCTGGGGCGGGAGGGGTGGTCGGAGAAACGGCTACAGACGCGAAACAGAGTGGTAACGAGCCACTTCTTTCGATCTTATCAACGATTCTGTGGACTGGTTTCTTCGAGCTTCGGTCGAAGGTCGGGGAATACAGTTTCGTCGCGATACGGATCCGGAGTTTAGGATATTGTCCGAGACTCACGGGGATTATTGAAATTTCGATCGTGTTTAATGTTCCCTGCATATCCTTAATATTTATCTCACCTCGATTCTTTCTTTTCGAACATTCATACTTTATTCTTTGCCTTATGCCTTACGTAAAAACACTCCATTTTAGGAAGCGCGATCTCATTTTATTATCAGTCGCGAAAGTATTTATTTATGGAAAGTATTTATTAAGTATCGTTTGTAACGGTCTGTGAGGACCGTGGAATAGTGGTTTATCGCGAACGTTAGGACGTCGGGAGCAGGAAAGGAATGCCTTGAGAGCGTTACGTGTAATATTTAAATTGTGTCTGCGAAATGAGACGGCGTAACGGCGTGACGACCGACTTGACAGTGCTATTAAGAGCAATACCGTACCTACCTGTCAGATCTGGGAATAAATGGAGCAGCGACGGAACTGCTCGAGCTGAAAATGAATTTCCGGATGCGGCGCTAATCTTATCTCCGTCGGAGAATTTATCTCGACGAACGTCTACCTTTCTTTCCCTCGAAGACCAAGTGAATCTACGACGTGGCAATAAAAGGAACAACAACCGCAAATAGACATCGTATAGGCGCGCGTTCTGTGGTTCCAAGCGAATCGTACGTTGGTTCTACGAAGAAATTATACTAACGATAGTAACGGACAGGTAGAATCAGTGAATCTGATCTGCGTACATCGATAATAGTACGAAAAACGTATCGATTCGAAGGCGCCGTCGTCGCGAAGAATAATAAAAGATTTTATGCCCGAGCAAATATATTGAAAGTGTTACGAGAGTCAGTCAAGATTCCGAAAGTACTACTAAAACCGAGAACACCCTATATGCTATATACCAGAGCCTTCTAAACTATTTTCACACGTGATCCCGGTAACCTTTGCAATTTACTTCAACCCGCATCTCTGATTCGAATAAATAATAAAGCTAAAAATATCTAAGAGAGTTCTATAAACGTAGTAACTTTCGAGCCGCTAACTCACGATGTTAGAAATGTATTCTGAAAGCTTCTTGATAGTTTCGGTAATAAACACGCCAAGTATAATCCCAATACGATTAACGATTCGAACGTGCGCGAAGGAAATTATAGCGCACGTAACAAATCGAGTTCCTCGTGGTGTGAAACAGCCGCTATAATCTCGATCGCGATTCTTTGGACGGATTCCGAAACTAAGTAGAAACTTCGAGCCATTACATTCTCGATTTACTCTGGAATCGCGGGCGTAACGATCGGTAGAACGTCGTGGCATCGTCCCGTCGATTTTTACCCCGTGAGAATTTCCCGCGTCGGAATCGGGGGAACGGATGTCACGTCGCGGCGCGGTGATTTATAACTTCTGCATCGGCCAGCCCGCCCCCCGAAGGTGTTGGTAAACAACGTCGGGATCCCTGAAAAATCTCCCGGCCGGAAGAGGGAATTTTATGCAAACGCAACGCGGCGGAGCGACTGCCCGTCCCGTTCTCTGTCGCCGCGATTCGATTTTATCGTTAAACAAATACTCGTCGCCGGGCGAGCTCCAACGACGGCGTTTTTCCTTACGGAGGTGATTTATGGATCCCTGGGAAGATTAATCAATTCTCAGTCCCCGTTCCCCGCCCCGCCGCGATCGTCTGAATTCCGTCGCAATTCCACGCCGTTCGAGAATCGGCGAGTAACGATGGTAAATTGTATCGTGGACCCACCTACGACGGTCTGGTTCAAGAAAAATCAAACTACACGGATGAGAATAAATTTTCGTAATGTCTAAATTTACTTCCAGAAACGTTCTCCTTTGATTGATAATCGTTTGCCAATGATTGACGCAAATTGCTTGCATTTACCTTAATTTTAAAGATATTGTTAAATATACTGTTTATTTACACCCCCCAATATATCGTTTTAAAGTTACGACCGATTCCTATCGACGATAAGGTCGCAAATCGAGAGTGACTGTGGGTTCCAAAGGCTAAACCGACAATTCGACGGCCGCCAGGGTTCGTTTAAAATTGTAAAACTTCAAACAAGACAGAGCCCCTTCAGCGTACCGCATGACGGAACTGGCGTTATTATGCTCCGGCAGGGCTGGTTGTTCTGAAGTTCGAGTCTAACCGAGATTTTCTTTTCGGATTTCAGTGCTGACGGTGCCCGGCTACGACGTGTGGGTGAATAGATCCCCCGTGATGGAGGGATGCAACGCTGTTTTATCTTGCACGGCCCTGGAAGACGTCAAAGAACATCTGACAGTCACATCCTGGTTCCGCGACGACGCCATTCTTTTACCTGGAAGCACGGACACCGGTAAGCATGGAAATAGTTTGCCAGTGAGACGCGTGTTCTTGTTCAGCTACCGATGGCGAATAAAATGAGAGAAAACTCACCGTAATACGAGCGGAATAGAGGAAATACGCGGGGGCTGTGAATATCGGCTATAGTCGGCCCGAAGAAAGAATCGATCTGCTAGAACCACTCGTCCCAATATAGAGAATTCTCCTCCCCCAGCGAAAGCGTCGAACCGACACCTGGACAAACAACGCTTTCCAACGCGTTGAATAAAATTAAATTCTTCTGTAATTAAATATTTACAATGGAACTATAGAAACGAAGTTTAAACTTACGTTTCACCCTGTGACTACCCTAATAGACGCCCGAGTAATTTATTTCACGTCGAAGGTTATTTTCATTAAAATTCGCCTTTCAATTCGCGTCCCATTATTTAAATACGTCAAAGTATTGTTACGTAATTTCTTTTAGAAACAATAATTTCGTTTGCAGAGTGTTAAACCGTGCGTGACAACAATAATTGTATACCATTGTAGGGTTTTAATACGGCACGCTGAAGTAACGATATTTACATTCGTCTGTGTAAAACGTTCCCCGGCGTTCTCGTATCGCGTTTGTAAATATACAGAGCGAAATTATTGGAACACCCCTTAAGCGTGGCATTCTACAAAGTATTTCATAAAGCGCGCGACCAAGTACTCTCGAGCTACACCTGAGAAATAAACCCCTTTGAAGCGCCATCTTTTTGCGCCCGAGGAATAGTTGACTTTAACTGCTGGAAAACTGGAGCGCGGTTCTGATATTAAAATTTTAATATCGCGACGGCGTTTAATATACATACATCAAAAAACTTCGCGGCTTTTCGGTAACTTCTATAACGCGTTTAGTATTTTTTATTCCCGTCCCGTTGTACAGGAATCAGCAGACCCGTAAAATAAGTATTCTTTAGAGCACGTGCAAACTGCGGAAATTCACGTTAGGATTTCTTATTTCTCTTTTGTTGCAATTCGGTGGTTAGCGTGGAATTTGATATCGAGACGATAGGAATCGTGGAAAATGATATTTCCCGGGCACCGGGAACGCGGAACTTGGTTCATTTATTAGTCCAGGCAGTAGTCGCGTATTAATTTTCTTCTCCTTCGCGCAACAATTACGTAAATTCTCATCAAGAACGCGAACGGAAATTCAGCGAACGCCGTGAATGCTGGCATCGCGAGCATCATTTATAATCTTGCCGGAGTGGCCCGTATTTGCTCGACACGGGGATGCATTATGTTACAATGATAATCGTAAACAAGTCACGCGCACGCGGAAAATGCAATATTGATGGCACAATACGCGTGCATCTGGATGGTGAATGAGCTGCTGCCGGCGTCGATAATTAGATTACTTCCCCCTGGTTTATCCGGATGCCGCGTCAGAGATTTCTTATTTCGTGTCGTTGCCCGAGAAAATGAGGTCTCGCGAAAAATATCACGAAAATTCGCTCCTCTGTGACACGGGTATGAATCGTGGAAGTTGTAAAAAAAAAATGAATAGTTAAATTTTAACCTTCCCCGGGGATCGCTGTACATCCAAGACTGGCGAAATTTTATTCGAAAAATAAATAACTAACGTACAGCTCTTTATTAACGACGGCCACTATATCGAACAATTAAATTTTCATCCAATCGTTGGGAAATATTTTGTCCCACAGCTGAAGTTTTCAGTTTTATTCAACGAGCAACGGATGTAGATTCTTTTTATTTATTATTCGTATATATTATAACGAATTCTTGCAGTCACGAGAGCGAAGTCGCCTTTCTTTGTCCTTAAATTATTACCGAACAGCCTGGAAATAAATGAGAAACCGCGTTTCCTTCGCTGGTGGAGGACCTCGCAAAAATGGGGTAACGGAAAAAGCAGCGGCGAAAGTAAATAAGAATCTTTCGACGAGTCCGCGGTACTGGTTCTACCAGCTTCGCGAATTTATCTGTTGGGACACGGTGATAAATCGCTTCTCCGTGCCGCAAAATACTAAATACGATAGAACCGGAGCCGAAAGAAAGCACGAAAACATTCGTTCCGATACGGAGAACCACCCTCGAGGGAAGAGGAGGGTTTCTCGATGACGTTCGATCGTCGTTCCTCGGCTTAGGAGATCGACGCTGGAACGAACAAAGAGAAACGGAGAAATGACAAAGGGCTGTGGAGAAAGAAATTAGGGACGAAATGGGAAAGATGATTGTATTTGAAATTTTAACGGCAGAAGATTGTTCAAAATTGTTTTACTCGACAATTGTTTGTATCTTGCTTTGCAATAATAAATAATCTCGAGTTTATAGAAAGGAGATTGACCGATCAGACGCACCAGTCAACCTCTCAAATCTACACAGTAACCACTTCGAGTAGAATGGGACTGTCCATGGTCAGACTATAGAATAATAATGAAGTAAAGAATTTTTTTCTCGAAAGTGCGTAAAATTTCGGGGGTATATATATTCACCAAAAATGATTGTAATTGATCCCCGTAAATGAAAATAATTTTTTTGGAACGATTTGAAATGTTTCAATTTCGCCGAAGGCAGAATAAAGGCAGAATAAAGAATCTTTCATACTCAAAGAAGTAAGGTGATAACGTTTCTTATACAAGTAGAGCAAGTTCCCTGGGAGATGCAGAACGAGGTCTGTTTAATCCCTTTTATTCGGGAATAAGGGCGACAGAAATGTTTCCTGCAGTCTGGGGGAAAAGTCTTGAAAATCCACGTCGTCCAAGGAAAATTTAATTACCGCGCACTTACTACTACTTTCGCATAGTTCGGGCAACTCCGAAATTATTTTGCGACGAGTACACCCTCGTTCCGTATAATAAATCCCTCCCCGCCCTCTCTGTCTTTCTCTTTTTCCCGGTTTTTGTCGCGCAGGAAGTGGATCCGCGCAACCTCAGCCCGTAACCAGCGATCCGGTGTTTGCAGTTGGGAGCCCTCGTATCGTGTACGACCGTATATTACTATCTCGTCGTCGTGTCCATGACGATGCCCGCCTCTGAATATTCCCTCGTGTTGCCCCGGGATTTCCATATTTCTTCTAGCGTTTCCATGTTTGTTTTCGCCATTTCCCGATATTAAAACGCTCGAGTGGCGCGACCTACGTTCCTGCCGCTCTGCTGGCTCCGGTGTCTCTCTGTGCCCTTCGACTTCCACGTTATTGTCGCGACTCCTGCGGGACTGGCGGCCGATTTCTTACGGAACCGGAAAAGGAACGTATCCAGCAGATGTCGCGTTCCTTGCGCCGAGGGGCGCCGGTATTCCATATTGGCGATTCGATATTCCTACTATCTCTCAATTCACGAACATCCACCGACTCGAAGTTCCTCCGACGCGCATCGAAAGATGATACCAACTCGGTTGCTTTTATTGAAAACGTCTAACAATTTAGAACAGACCTTTGTATCGACACGGGAATTTTTATTAAAATATAACAAATTCATACCTTTTCTATTATAATTTTAGCCCTCATATATAACGCAATATTCGTTGCTCGACGAACAAATGAGTGTTTTTTTTTAATACTGAAACTATTTGTTTAACGCAAGGCGCGGCCAGTCGAATAATCGAATTTTTGTCCGAGGTTTTAATTCGTAAGCGCGCCTGGAATCGGCGAATAAACCCGGCCGCGGGTGAGGGTGGCGGCATGTTTCCCTCGAGGGTGCTTCGAGGGCTGTTTATGGAAAGGCACCGACGAAAGTCTCGCGCCATAGAAAATGAAGTTTGAAGACCGGTCTACTCTTTTTTTCCCCGAGACTGTTTCGGGGATTGTTTACGCGGGGCCCGTCGATGAAAAAGTTCCACGCGTCGGGAATAAACGTTTAAACTTCTCTCAGACCGTCGGCGAATACGCGCGCGGACCGGGAGCTTTTTTTAATCGAAATTAAATTGTCTCCCGCTACCGTGAGCCAGAACGTTTAAATTACGATTTAATCGCGATTATTGCGCACGGAAAACAGTAGCCGGGAAACGATTGAATTTACGTTGGAAAAATATTGACACTCTTTGCTAATTTTTTTACCTTTGCGAACGTTTAAAACGTATTAAAACGCCGAATATATACTGTTATAAACTCCTTCCACTATTCTGTTTACTAACGATAATTCGTGAGGAGATATTTAGAGAATTGTTTTTAATTTCTTCATTCTTTTAGTACACGCTATATAGCGAAGACCACGAATTCTTCGCAGATAAAGAATCCATAACGCAATTATGCAAATAAAGTCGTGAGCAACGTGGAGTACTGTTCCGCAGTGTAGCAGTAGTAGAGCCGTACCATTAGTCAGACCAGTGTCTGACTCTCGCAACGTCTACTCTACTGCGTCGATTCGAACGGTAACCGTTTTGCATAAAATATCGCCGTCCGTACGTTTCTTCCCCAAAGAAGAACATTCTCGTCGCGAAAGTACCGTGCATGTTCCGTTCTTTCAACGAATACCCCCGCTATATTGAAACATTCCTCGTATCGGCGCTTCAGCTCGCGAAAACTCGAACTTTGCGTTTTATTACCAGACGACTAACTTTGATTCTCTTTGGAGGGGTGCTCGGGGGTGTCTGAAAAGCATCCAGCGAGTCTGTCGACGGGAAAAGAGTTGAAGGAACGCCGGCGAAACGGAAAAGAAAACTCGCGAAAGCCGACAGATCGAGGACGCGAAGCTCCCCCAGCTTTGTCAATTATCCCGATTCGAACTTAACGACCGTCGGGCTCCGGGACGAGGACGGGGCCCGTGCGCCTCGTCGTCGTCGTCGACGGCAGCGACGATGAAAAACAGACGAGGGATTGTACAAAGGCATAAAGCCGGAGAGGAATGCTTCAGCGGCTCGCAACGGGGCTGAACGCATTCGCGACTGAAACTCCTGAATGACTGCATGCACGTGCGTGTTCCGTTGGCTGAAAAACCGGAAAAAGGGTCGAGCACCTATTTCCGGCGCGGGGACGGGCGGGGTAGGGGTGCCGGAGCGGGCCATTATTAAAAGTATAAAGCCACTTCC